CTATCAGCGTCACTCCTCTCCCGTCCTGCTCCCCATAATCTTATCTATACTGACCACTCCTTGCTTCTGTTTGGGCACCCAACCACCTCGCCCCTCATAAAATTACCTTGTCTCAGGTCTCCTAGACCTTGATCCCACTAAACTTTCCAACCCATCTTTTTCCTTATCCCACTGCTGGTGAGGACCAGGTGGTTCTTTCCTCCTGGAGCCTGATCCCACCAAAAGCAGACGTGACCACAGTCCTGGACCATCCAAACCCAGCCTGTGCTGTCTGGTGCCAGCACCATCACCACAAATGCTGGAAGATCCTGGCCCTTCTTCTCATGTCACTAGGGACCCTCCTTGTGTCTTTGCCACAAACACCCATCCAGCCCGCCGTGCCTGCCTGCACAGTGCCCAGAATTGCAATATTGCTTTGATTTTCCTGCTTAAATCAATGGCTCTAATCAGCCATGACTTTCTCCTTTCCGTGTTTCCCTCTCCAAACCTACAGCCACGCTGCCTCCAGATCTGTGACTTGATAAATCTCCTGTTCTGGCTAAACAAAGCAATTAATAATCTTTTCCAACAGGATATGAGAGCACAACTGGTACATCTCCAGGCTTCTAGAATACACTCCTCAGCAAATTCCTTTAGTCCCTTGGAAGGAAGGGACAAAAACTTGCCCTGCTGCTGTTGGGAGCTCAGACCCCAAGGCCAGGCTCCGTTTCCTCTGCAGGAGACATCCAGCCTGCCCAGGGAGGAGAGCTCCCTGCTCCTGCTCACTGCTCCCTGTGTGCTCCCAGCACCTTCACCCTGGATGCTTCCAAGCCTTATCACACTCTGAGAGCCCACAGTCTCCTCCTGACCTTGTTGTCCCCTCTCCTACCCTCCTCCATTCCCTCCCTCTCCTTGCCCCAGTACAACACCCAATTTAAACCTATCCTAAGGCTTTTAAATCTCTCTCTGGATCACCTCCGGCTGACATAAGTGAGAATAATTCTCTGTTGTCCTCCTGTTTCCTTTTCCATGCCAGGCATGGAAAAAAAAGCCTCTCCCTGCCTGCACTCTCAACACTTTCACACTGCTCCTCTGTGCTCTCCAGCTTCCAGCTGAAACCAGTCCAGCTCCTCTAAATCAAAAGATATTTATAAAGCTCTCCTCCTTGTCATCTTTCTGGGGATCCCAAAATCAATTAAAATAGTTCAAAACCACGAATGAGACAGTAAAGGCGAAGAAGCCAAAATATCTGAGGCTCTGTAAACAGAGAATTCCTGTGAACTAATCCTTCTCCAGTGGTTGTCTGGGAGCAGAAAATGGACATAGAATCATAGCCTCATTAAGGCTGGAAAAGACCTCCAAAGTCATCAAGCCCAAGATGAGCTCAAATCACATGGTTGGGGCTCTGGACTGGGCGACACTGATGGGGTCCCTGGCCATGTGTGGGTGTCAAAAGGACCAACCTTTTAAACCTGTTTCAATCCTTTAGGCTGTGAGTTTCTCAGTGTCCCCGGTGCCACCAGGTGCTGGCATCCACCTGAAGGTTGGGCTCATCCTGCACTTGCAGAGCAGCACAGCTACAAGTCCCCAAACCCTGGTGCCAGTCAGCACAACCCTGGCAGCTCTGGTGAGCATCCAAGCAGGGGGATGTCCCTGCTCATCAGAGAAATCATGGAATGGTTTGGGTGGGAAGGGAGCTTGGAGCCCATCCTGTTCCACCCTGCCATGGGCAGGGACAATTCCACTAGCCCAGGTTGCTCCAAGCCCTGTCCAACCTGTCCTTGGACACTTCCAGGGATTCAGGGGCAGCCACAGGTGCTCTGGACAACCTGTGCCAGGGCCTCAGCATCCTCACAGGGAAGAATTTCTCCCCAATGTCTAAATGTCTCATCATCACCCCCATCTCCACCAGTGCTGTGGGGTTACCGGGATGCTCCAGGTTTCTGGCCGAGGTCAGAGCTCAGCAAAACCTCCCAGCCCCAGAACCTGGAGGAGTTTTGTGTTCTGCTTTGTCTCCTCGGGGGGATGAGGGTGGGAGCAGTGGGCAGAGGGCTCGGCAGCCCTGCACCCAGACCAGGAGCAGTGGCTGGGCTGGTTCCAGCTGCGAGGCCGGGCTCGGGCCGGGCCAGGCGGAGCCCGGCGGTATCAGCAGGGACCGAGCCCGCTGTGTGTCACTGCCCCAGCCCGCTGTGTGTCACTGCCCCAGCCCGCTGTGTGTCACTGCCCCAGCAGCACAAACCCACGTGGGGCCGGCAGTGACTGCAGCTCCACACGGAACCGTCACAACCAGACTCCACAGGGAATGGCGAGCAGCTGGAGCCGCGCCTGTGCAAGCCCACGGCCACATCCACAGGGAACTGCTTCCTGAAGGGCAGCTGCACCCCCAGCTGTGTCCCCAGGACTCCAACCCCATCCCTCAAACTGCCCCTTTCCACCAGGACTTCTCCCTCCACATTGTGTTCCCACACCTCCAAAGGTCAGCGGCGATGGCTCCAGTTCTGGAGAACACCCTGACAGGGATGGGGTCTGGTGCAGGGGGTGGTGCTCCCTGTCACAGGGAATCAAGATGGTTTACATTGAAAAATAATTTGTTCTTTCGGCCCCAGCCCTGCAAAAGACACCCTGGATATGATCCCATCACATGGGTTTTGGGGATTAAATATGAGCTTTGTGATTAACTCATCCAAGTCTTAATTGTGTCCTTCCAAGCCTGTTAAAATGTAGGGAATTTTGTTGTGTTGGGAATACTGTCCCCATCAGAAGCTGTCATTGCCTGTGTGAGGATGTTGTGTCTGATGGCTCTGGGGAGGGTGATGCCCGCAGCTTCCCATGAAATTTGGGGCTGGATGAGGCTTTTTTATAATCCATCACTCATAGCACCAGTGGCTTCTTGTACAAATGAGAGCTACAAACCCTTTCAAAGCCAGATGTTGACCACGCCTTGCCCTCTGATGACCATTCACTCCAAAACTCCCCAAACCTGGGAATTCCACTGGGACCCTTTGACATGCTACTCATTTTTGGGGACTGAGGAGACTGACACTGCACACAGGTGAATCCTTTCTGACCCTGAAGCAGTTCTTTTGTTAATGTCTATGTTTCTAATGCAGATGTCACAGGACAGGAAGAGTGAATAGGTCAGGAAAGGGTGGGGGATTTTGTTGCCTGTCAATTTATATATTTTTTTCTTGAAAGCATTAATATTTCTCTGAGAGATGGGTGTCCTGAGTGCCCACCATCCCAGATGGAGCACATCATCCCCTGATGCTAACGAGCTTTTTTGGGTAGAGCTCAAACTGTTCCTTGATGCCCTTGCATGGTGCCACTGCCAGACTGCTGACTTTTTAAAGCAGGAGCAATCCTGAGCTACAAGTTTTGAAATAAAAACTTTAAAAAGCAGTGTTAAAGCTTTTCTTCAGGCAATGGTTTTCCTGCCACTAGCAAAGTGACACTCCCGAGTCATCTGCCCCTAAAAGGTCCCATCCAAGTGCCCTGGGGCATGTGGGGTGCTGAGCACCCAGCCTGACTCTGGGGCACCCACAGCCTGCACCCTGTGGCTGCCTGTGGGGTGTACAGATGGACTAGCATTTATTTGTTGGGGCTTTTGTTCTTTAATCTGAAAGTTTGACATCCTGCAAGAGGGTTTGGCAATGTTTTTTCACTCCAGGCTGTTTTTGCTTGCTGCCAGTTTCCAGAATAGAGCATGAACTGCAGGAAGGGCTCTGGTTTTGGGTGACTTTACCCACCCCAACTCAGGGTTATTACTGCAGCAGCCTGGAGGGGGCTGGGGACAAATTTTGCACCTCCAGCAGAGCAGACAGGTCAGCAGTCCCCTCCAGAGGAACATCACCAGAAATCACCCAGGGTAATCTCTCCTGGAGCCCACAGCCAAAAAATGTCATCAATTCACCTGCTGGAATAGCCCAGCCTGGGCAGTGGGGACATTCAGGGGTCTGGGACTGGGAGGCATCATCTGGGATCATGGCTCCAGCCCTGGGAGCTGTGAGGAGGAGCAGCCCCGTGGTCTCCTACAGCATTCCCGCAGCTCTCCAGCACAGCCCAGGGAGCGCCGTCCTGCAGGCAGGGTGATGGCAAACAAACCCCAAACCCATCCCGGCCGCCACAAACCTCCTCCACGGCCGCACATCCCGAAAACGCCGGGCTGGGAGGCACAGCAGGGCAGGAGCAGCGGTGGGAAAGCACAGCCCGGCCCGGGCAGCACCGGCAGCCCCGGCACGGAGGGTCCTGCCCGCCCCTGGCCCCGGACACATCCCCGGGCACATCCCCGGAGCCGTTCCCAAGCACCGCACCCGGCTGCTCCCGTGCCCCTGCGAGGAGCTGCTGCAAGTGAGGCACGGGAATCCCCCCTTCCAGGGACATCCAGGATGGACAGGACATCCAGGGACATCCAGACGGACAGGACATCCAGGGACATCCAGGATGGACAGGAACCGGCACGTGCAGCAGCCTCGGTGCGCATCCAAAAACCAAAGAGCAGGGAGCGGGGAAAACCAGGTGGTGTGAAGGCAGGATGGGACAGGTGACACACGGCCGGGCTGAGCCGTGTGCCCTCCCGCAGGCTCGGGAGCCTGGAGCTCAGGCAGGTGAGGAACTGGGCAGGCAGCACCTGGAAACCACCTCAGCCCACCGAGCTCTTGTTTCTGTCGCTCAAAACCTCTGCTCACCCAAGTTTGTTAAAGCAAGCGCGTGCTATTCTAAGGCAGCGCTTTCTTTCCGCACCAGGATGTGGTTAATCATTCCCCAGGCAGCAGCACACCGTGTACGGGACGCCGTGGGGAAGCTCACGGAGAGCTGCCCCATGGGGTGAAACACCCCCGTGCCAACCCGCAGAGCCCCCCGGCCCTGCCCAGGCAGGCTTCCCCAGGAGCTAATATTAAATTCTGCATCATCTTTCACCCGAGGAGCGTACGAGGAACACGGGGATGCCCGGGGCGGGCTGGGGTCCCTCTCCGGGCAGGAACCCCCCTCCCTCCCCGCCAGCATCCCTGCCCCATCCTTACTTTGATGTTGCAGAAAAAACTCCTGGAGCAGGTGCTGGAGCTCCTGGGAATGTCCACCGGGGATTTGCCAACTTCGGGGCGGACTCCCATGGCGAGGGCTTCCCGGGGAGCCCGGGGTTTTTGGGCTGTGCGTGTCCGGCCCGGCCCGCACGGATTGTGCCGAATCCCTCCGAGCTGCGAGTGAGCCCGGCAGCGGCAGCGCCAAGTTCTTATAAGTCGGCTCTCGGGAGCGATGATGAAACGCTTTCTCCTCCCTCTTTCGCTTTGTGCACCGAGGGAACTTTAAAGTCGCAGGGGACAAAGGCAGCGCGCTCGGAGCGGCGAGCCCGGACGCTGCGGAGGGAGCCGGGCTGCGCTGGGTGACAGTGACACCCACCCTGGGGACACCCAGCGCCCCGAGCCGCCTCCGGGCCCGTGTGCCAGCCTGGACAAGGAAACGGCGCCGGCAGGGGAGCCTTGCCGCAAGGAAATCGCCTGGGATTTTATTCCAAGGTCCCCTGGAGGGGCGAGGGGAAGCACATTTCAGCATCTGAGATTTGGCTCCCAGGTGCTGGGAGGGGGAAACTGGGTGGACAGATGGAGAAATACTTCCCCGGGCCGTGGGGTTTTGGAGGGAAAAAAAGCCACTTCAGTGTTTGTTTTTATAGAAAAAGCTGCATTTATGAAGCTCATCAGCGCTGTTTTTTTCACCAACACCTCTCGGGGCTTTGTTTATGCAAAGCACTGATTTATTTTGCAAGCTCCTGTCGGGGGAAACGCGTCAGAAGGAGAAGGGCAGGTTGATCCAGCCGGAGGAGAAACCAGCTTCAGGTGTTGTGTCCTTCTGTCCTCTTATCGCTTCCCTGCAGAGGGGAGAGCAGGGGACCCCACGCCAAACAGGGGGCCCACCCTGCGCTGTCCCGAGGCTGCAGAAATACATCCCAGCTCCCGGGAGGGTTTCCCGGGAGGGCTGGCGGGTTCCTGCGCGGTGCCAAGGACGAGCCCCTCGGTGGCACCCGGCCCTGGGCGCTCACCACGAGAGGGTGCCCGGAGCCCGTGGGAAGCGGCTTCCCGGGCGCTGCCGTCCTCCCTGCGCCGCCCGACCCCCGGGTGGGGACCCCCGGGATGCCACCCGCCTGTGGCAGTGTGACAGTCAGCGCTGCTAAGGTAAAGGGAGCTCAGCTGGGCTGCCAGCTTCACAGTTTCTGAAGCCCGTCCCAGGATGGGTTTGGGGTGGCAAAAGAAGCATCCTTGTTTTCCAGCTTTCTTTTTCTGTTTCCATCCCTGAATTTGCCAGATCTGGGGCCAGGACATGGCGTGAAGAGACCCTTTATTCCCTGTCAGAGTTAGCCAAGCCCTTTTACCCAACATTCTGTGGCAAGACCTGGAAGTTTCAGCCTCACCAAGAGAAAAGCTCAAGCAAACCAACATCTCTGCTCCTCTCCCACCCTCCCCGGGAGCCCAGCGTGCCACTGACCTAATTTTTGAGGCAGTGCCTGACCTGCTCCCCATTCGGTTTATTTTGCAGCAGCTGTGAGGCTCACTTTGTCATAACAAGCCCCTCACGTCACAGCTGTTCTGGCCACTGGCTCCAGCTTTTCCCTACAAATTTGTCTCCACAAAGCAAAACAGAGTGGGGAAGATGCCTGACAAGTCTGAGTCCGGCCTGGCAGCAGGGAAACATCCCTGCCCTGATGGCCCATGACATGGAAGGGGTTGGACACCCCATGGAGGGGGGGTAGTGACCCCCACAAGGGGAGGCAAAAGGCTCTGGTGGGTCAAAAAGGCATCAGGACCCTCTGGATCTGCCTCTGGTGAATACCTCTGGGGGCTGGATGTTGCTGCCCCACTGGAATTGTTTAGATTGGAAAAGCCTTCTAAGACCATGGAGTCCAGCTGTTCCCCCAGCGCTGCCAAGTCCAGAACTAGCCCACGTCTTCAAGTGCCACATCCACACCTCTGTAAATCCCATCAGGAATGGGGACTCCACCACTGCCCTGAGCAGCCCCCTTCCGATGCCTGGCCACCCTTTCTGGGAAGGAATTTTCCCAATATCCAATCTAAACCTCCCTTGTCCCTGTTCCCTGGGAGCAGAGCCTGACCACCCCCGGCTGTCCCCTCCTGTCAGGAGTTGTGCAGAGCCACAATGTTCTCCCTGAGCCTCCTTTTCTCCAGGCTGAGCCCCTTTCCACGTTCCATCAGTCACTCCTTGTTCTTCAGACCCTTCATAGAAGCAGGTCCTTGGTGGGAACTGACCACACACCCCGTCGGTGGCTGGAGCAGCCTCAGATGTGCTGGGCAGCACAGGACCTGTCCCCAGGCACCACTGTCCTGCCCGGCTCTGGGCACCCCCAGCAAGCCCCTGAGGGGTCTCAGACAAGGGGAGGTGCCCCAGCGGGGCCAGTTTGCTGTTGGGCAGGGAGAAATGATGCTGGCAAAGCACGCTGCTGTTGTATTTCTCAATGTGCAGCTCTTGCAATAAGTAAGGCAGGAAAACAGCTGGCTCATGCCCAGCCATGAGACACAGACTGCACTGGGACCCCTCAGGGGCTGCATGCCCTGCTGACCCACCTGGTCTGTGCTCCAGGAAGAGCTCCCAGACCATCCCAGTCTGTGCTCCAGAAAGAGCTCCCAGACCATCCCAGTCTGTGCTCCAGAAAGAGCTCCATGACCATCCTGGTCTGTGCTCCGGGAAGAGCTCCATGACCATCCAGCTCTGTGCTCCAGGAAGAGCTCCATGACCATCCTGGTCTGTGCTCCAGGAAGAGCTCCATGACCATCCAGCTCTGTGCTCCAGGAAGAGCTCCCAGACCATCCAGCTCTGTGCTCCAGGAAGAGCTCCCAGTTTTTCCCAAGCAGGGCGCACTGCCCAAGCCATGGCAGCTTAAATTGCCACAGTGACACAATAAAAGCTGACGGTCTGAGTTTAAAGTCCAGTCATCTTGGAGAGCACTGCTGACATCTCCCAAACTTTTATCCTGCTGGAAGAGAAACTCCAGCCCTTGGACACACGTTCATCTCCAGCTTTCCTGCACCAACACTGCTTTTAAATCACGGGCTTGAGATTGTGCAATAGGAGTTAACAAAATTAGCTGCATGTGAGAAAATGGGGGTATCTTGCCTCTTTTTGAGGACTCTCTACTGAATTTCACTTTCTTGGCAAGGAGTGGCTCATCCTGAAGATGAGGGCACAGGAGGGAAGGGATTCATGGTTGGGTTTCACATTCTTCTCATGGTGCTTGGTCAGGGCGATAGGGCTGATGTTAAAGTGCCTGGCAGGAGAGATCCCACATGGCAGGGCTTGGTTTGTTTTACAGGGTTTGGTTTGTTTTACAGGGTGCCTGGGCTGTGCTTCATGCTCCTCCTCTAGTGGTCACGCTCCCCTGGCAAGGAATCAGGGGAAGGAGAACCCCTCGTGCTGCTGACTGACTGGGAATCAGCTCATTCAGACCACAGCTCTCACAGCTCTTCCCTCATCCAGAACAAGTGGAATGGTTTGTCTCCATGTGAAACACGCCCCCCCTTGCACGCGCTCCCCTGGCAAGGAATCAGGGGAAGGAGAACCCCTCGTGCTGCTGACTGACAGGGAATCAGCCAATTCAGACCACAGCTCTCCACGTACCCAGTAGCTCACGCTCCAACCCAGCCCCTTCCCTCATCCAGAACAAGTGGAATGGTTTGTCTCCATGTGAAACATGCCCCCTTGCACATTTCCAATGGCCAGAGTGAACTTTCACTGGTGCAGCAGTGCAGGAACTAAGACAAGTCCCTCTGTGGGGTGCTCACCTTATTCACAGAACATCAGAACCCCCTAAAGCCACTTTCCTTCTGCTGGGGAGGTGATTGGGTCAAACTGCTTCTACATGAGTGAGGAGAAGACTCTTTTCCCTCATCCCCCTCCTCATTTCCACCGAGTGCTGGGCTGATCCTTGTTTGAGGATGAGGCTCACTCTGCTTCACCACCCACCTTCAGTCTGGCAGGGACTGAAGCACCTCACTTTTCCTCTGTGGTATCTCCAACCTGTCCTGCTCAATTATTTGTTGCCAACTGGGCTTTAAAAACAGAAATCATGGAAAGGTTTGGGTTGGAAGGACCTTAAAACTCATCCTGTTCCATCCCCTGCCGTGGACAGGGACACCTTCCACTGCACCAGGCTGCTCCAAGCCCCATCCAACCTGGACTTGGACACTTCCAGGGATGGGGCAGCCACTGCTGCTCTGAACTTTAAACTTGGAAATTATTTTCTTTAGCTGTTCTGCTGCCTCTAGAAGACCTCAGAGTGCTCTGACAGGTGCCATTGAATGAAAATTAATTTGCTGGGGAAGCAAATACAGAGCCCCTGGGCTTCCAGGAGGTTTCACAATTGCAAGTACAAACATTGTGCTGGGAATGTGCATTTAGAACTCCCTCCATGTCACCAGAGCCAGCCCCTGGGGGTGCAGAGCAGCACATAACCCCCCCTGGAGCCCTCATTTATTCTCCAGGGCTGGTGGTGTGGCACAGGGGGGAACAAGGACCGGAGTGGCATCAGTGGTTCCTGCCACTGCCCGTGGCTGGGAATGACAGGGCTGGATTTGGTCTGGCAGCAGCGTGTGTTTGGAGCAGGAATACTGCTCAGGGGAAGAGCAGAGCTGCACCTGAAGAACAGGCTTGGCTGGCTCACAGCCCGACTGTCCTGGGCATGGAGAGTGAGGGGCAGGTGATTCACCAGCACCCCGGGGTGTCCACCCCTGGGGAGGGGACACTGCTGTCCCCACGCTGGAGCGGCCATAAGGGATTTGCATTTCGGACAAGCAACAGCTGAGCCCCAGAGCAGGAGGTGACACTGCCTGTCCTCCATCCGAGGCCACCACCAGCCCTGCAGGGCAGCCAGAGCTACGCCCAGGACTGGGAGAGAGGCCCAGGTGGGATGGAGCAGGGAGCTCTTCGGGAGCTGAGGGCAGAGCTGCGTGTCAGGGTTAGACCTTCCCTCCCGCGGGGCTGACTAATGAACACGTCAGGCAGCTCCAGCCCAAATCCAAAGCCAGGCAGGCAAACCTCTTGCAGGGCAGCAGCAGAAGCAAGGTGCATTCTGGAGGAATAAATGGGAAGGCAGGTTTTGCCAGGCTGTGACTGCAGGGTGGCTGTGGAGCCTGGAAACTGGGAGGCTGAGACGTAGGAAGAGCAGAGAGGACAGCAGAAGCTCCTCCGCTTTTAAGAGCCAGCAGGGGAATGGAGGAAATGCTTTTAAATGAGCCCTGGTTGTGCTTTGTTTCTCATAAAACAACCACTTTCTTTTCCTCTGCCTTTTCTGTTTCAAGTAACTCTTGTTTATTCTGAGGCCACTTGAGTTTCACCATCAGTTAGGACAATGCCATGAAGCTCTTCAGTTAAATATTTATAATATAAATATAACAACAACAACA